TTTTAACGATTAGTATAGATTTCTCAGAGATGAGATATTTTCCTGCAGTAAAAAGTATCCTATATGCCAGCTATCATCATACAAAATTCCACTAAAATCTGTCCAGAGGTTTTCTCGTGATGTGTTCACAGACAGTCAGACATCAAAAAATCTAAAAACGGTTGATTCGACCTCTGTATCGATAATAATGACTATTTCGATAAGATTTTCCAAAAAACCCGAAAAATATTGATTTCTCATTCCTTTTCCACCCTCTTAGCGATTTAAAGAAAATGTTATTTAGTGGTTAGAAATAACAGTCATTTCGGCCCTTCATATGTAGATTCGATCAAGGTAAGCAATTTATTTACATACTAGCATTGCCCGCGGCTCCGCCCGTGTTCACATACCCAAAAACCAAATTCTTAGGTTTTACTTATTAGTATACTCTTACATTGCAGTTCTTGTATTTTTCCAGAAATGAGACATTTCGCCGCGGTAAGAAGTATTCTATATGTTGACCCGGATAACCAGCTATCACCATAATAAATTTCATCAAAATCCCTCCAGTGGTTTTTCTGTGATGCGGTAACAGACAGACAGACAAAAATTCTAAAACTATAAATTCGGCCTCTGTATCGATAATAATGTTTATTTCAATAAGATTTTCTAAAAAATATTTAATGTACAGATTCGGCTTAGTTACAATTTTATTACATGTACCTATAGATTACACATTAGTATGAATGCCTAAAGTCAACGATAATTATAAAAACGTAAATTTTCCGATGTTTTAATAGTTATTCTGCTATTCTAAGTGAAAATATATCCAACAACACAAAGATAATAAAAATCGGTCCAGCAGTTCTGGAGTTATAAGTGTTGTAACAAATCCGACTTTGTTTTGTATATACATATACATAGATGTACTAATACATCCGCAATTATTTCATAATTTATGATCATCTATGCATTCGAAGTAGAACTTTTATACAAGCTAAAATCTTCCATATAAAGCTAAGATTAATGGGTCCAGCTTACGTACATACATACATATGTATATTGGTAATGACATAGCAAGTAAAACTAGGAAACTCATTTTAATATAGGTTATAATTACCGTTGCTGATTACATATAATTGTTACTCCTTTATTTGTTACCGTAAATCACACTTCGCTATAACGAAATTTAATTTAAATATTTCGCAAAAGGCTATCTATAGTCAAAGACGCAATACTGTAAAATTTTTCTCTTGTATTTAGTTTTTTCTTTAAAGTAGGTACATAAGTCTATAATTGTGTGATGATACATTTGGCTCAGTTTGTAGTGAGCCTACTTTCTCTGCCAGCGATCGCGGGTTCTAGTCCCGCTGGCATTCATTTGTGTGATGAGCACGAATGTTTGTACTCCAATAATGGGTGATGGGTGTTTATATTTATAATATGTATGTATTTAAAATGATATATGTGTAGTGTATCAATTATCTGGTATCCATAACACAAGCCTCGTAGCTTCCCAAGGAACTGGATGATGCCCAACATAATTAATTTATTTACAGTTCTTTTATATAAATAGATAGATAAATACCGAATATTCATATTTGTTTTCTTCAAATTTTCAATAATGATTACAATCGTTTTTGACCACTGGCCGAACACTTGTTATTATAAATATCCAAAATACATTTTTAGCGGACATTTGATACACTATCAATGTATATACTCGTACTATGACTTTAGTTAGTATCTGTTGAGATTTCAAAATTGCGCGATCAGTCAGTGAGTGAGTAGTATTTCACTTTATGAATTGTATTCAGCTTTTTTTAATGTCCCACCGCTGAGCACGGGCCTCCCTTCAGTACTAGGGGGAATCAGGCTATAGTCCACCACGCTGGCCAAGGGCGGGTTGGCGGACTTCACATGTCTTTTTAAAACTTGCTAAGTTCTCTCAAACATGCAGATTTCCTCACGACGTTTTCCTTCACCGTTAAGACAATTTAAGTTAAGAAAATACATAAAGGTTATTGTAATGTTACACAGTGTACATTAATTCACCTACATTAAGCTTCACCCCTTTATATATTTAATCACTTATTTTCTAATAGGTTTAAAATATATATATGGATAGTGTTTTATTTTTAATTAAAATGAAAATTACATACGTATCCGGTGTTGTTTTAATGGGCAATGTGTTAGTTAATGCAAGCAATTAGTTGTAAACCTTACAGCAGCTCGACTTCCTTATGCGGCAATGGAAAAATGAATTAAAGACTGATGTAGCTTAGAATAAACCTACAGCTGTGTAAAGTATATATATTTACTAAATAAAGCAACAGAATGGACAAAGAATAATTTTATCTCTTTAAGTTCTTCTAGACTCATGATGTTCAGTAAAAAATTGTAATAATTTAATGCTAACAAAAGTAATTTGAATTAAGAGATTTCTTCCAGAAACCCTTCGGATGTGAGAAAATTAGATAATTTAGTGCGGTGTAGGCACAGTATATTAACAACATTAAATGGTATAAACTTAGAATTCGTCTTTACCTTGTTATCATATTGTATTTAATAATTATAAACATACTGTTTTTCTCATTGGGTTCTTTCTGTTTACGTTTTTGTTTTTTGCAATGTCGAAACGCCAGCTAAATTTTTTTGCTATTGTTTTTCTTTGTCTTAACACCTCCAGGTAAATTTCTAAGAAATTAATTAAATTTCTGAGAAATCTATTAATTACTGTAACGCCGGCGTATCCGCGGTCGTGAAGGGATTAAGGTAGATTTTCAAACATTTCCAACCGTTAAAGCAGACATAGGTAAAAACAGGCAAATAACAGGTTCTGGTGTTTTATAATAATTACCAAACTACACTCTACTACGATGATAGATTATATAGTAATTAATGATTGTTTCGTTAATATAACGATATAATAATCGAAACACAGGATTTGACCCCGCTTCACTCGGTAACCCAAGCGAGCGCATTACCTTTGGGCTACCACTGTCTTTACAAAATCTATACAGATAAATAAAATTGAAGTGCCTGTTTGTAATGTCAAAATAAATGTGTATTTAGTAAAACGCTGTGTGTGAAATATACTGTACTTATAAGAAAAACACATTTATTTTTTATTTTTGTCTGTCTGTTTGTTCCGGATAATCTCTGAAATGGATGGATTAATTTTGACGGGACTTTTACTAGAAGATAGCTGGTGTTATAGGGAGTACCATAAGCTACTTTTATTTTAGAAAAGGAATTAGAGTTCCGCTAAAAAAAATTAAAACGTACCTAGGGACGAACCGAAGCGAAGCGAGGGTGAGTCGCTAGTAATATCTATTATAATTTAGAAAAAATTCAAGTAAAATATTGATAAAAAATATGTGTGGAATACTTTATTTTATATTCATACAAATATTTACTTACTGAATCCAGCCGTAGTCTGGTTGAATGTTACAGCAAAATGGATATTGCGAGAATACTCTGTAGAAATTGATGAGCGGAGTGTTACGAGTATTTAGTCGCGAATTAATTACAAGTGGATAACGAACCTTTACCGTGTAAAAACGTCTGAATACGCCAAAATTTCAAAGCAGTTGGTAAAAAACTTCCGGTAATTTTCTCTGTTACATAAATGTACTTTTTAATTTTGAACGTTTAAAATTTTATTTCGATTATAGAGATGCTGAGTAAACTCTACTTTTCACATGAGAGTGCGATGAAACACAGATGGCGTAATGTAATTCTTAAATAAATATAAGTATTCTGTATTGCAGTATTACAGAAATTAAAATACATACTTAGCAAAGGCTAAAACCATTATCTACAATCTAATCTCTTCCAACCAACCCATGGATTTTGATAAATACATATTACTATTATTGATATATTGAAGATTCATAAATAAAACATACTAGTATCGTTGCTTTCTGTTAAAAATGAAACAAAACGTAGGTTGAGTGTAGAACGAGGTAAATAATACAAATATTTATCCATCACAAAATTCCAACCCGGAACCTATACTTTCCACCAGGGGGTGTTATTAGATGCTTATAATCACACTGGACCCCTGTGTTATGAAAAGATAACCAGTACTTATTTTGTAATGACTCTTATAATGCAAGAGTTGTTTAAACATCATGTACAAAACAAGTAAGGATGATCATAAAATAAATATACACTTGTACTGTACTCGAAGAATAAATGAAGTAAGGTTTAAAAATAGATAGCAAAGATAGAAAATAAAAAGCTAAGTGCAAAACCGGTAAAGGCAGATGGCTCGCATCTTTTTGCAGCGATCTATGGCTCTATGTGCCGGCATGGGAACATTCCGAAACTTTCCATTTGAAAAACACTGAACGGATGGACTTATAAATAATATTTATATATAAAAATGACTTTATAAGCATTATATAAAAGTACTTATTATTATTATATAAGGTTTATAATATAGTATATTACTAATATGATTGAGTCAATAACTTATTTTCTCTATGTCATGACAAGATGTTAAACAAAATGAAAAATTACAAAAAACGACGACGACGAAAAAGATAACTACTAGATGTGAATGTGCCTAAATTTCGTAAGAAAATGTTCATTTTAAACCCGTATTCTAACATATTATAGTATCCTTCTTTAAATAATCGTCTCTCAATAAAAAAAAAACTAAAACAATAAAAAAATTATAACCGCTGTTACATAAATTATAAAATATAATTTATTACACTCTATATTTCTGATACAACAATACGCAAGCCTTATTTAACATCGGTAAAGAAATGTTAAGCATTCCAAGCTATTCTTGAGCAAATAAAAACTGGAGAATACTACAATCATCCCGTTTAGTGTTTAAAAATGCTACTATTGCCTAACAAGGCTCTGCAAACTTCATTTCAGGATCATAAATCAACTTGGGTTCACTCTATTAGATCCAGACCGGTTTCTCCGAGGGTTTAAAAGTAAGGGTCCGGGACCTTAGACATCATTCCCCATTCAACCCTTGGTGATTCCTGATCTCTAAGATGCTGAAGTTCTCAGTCCTACTGTTGGTCGCGACGGCGTCGGCCCAAATACCATCGTTGGGATGGTGTCCGGACTATCAGGTATGTGACTTTTGATTGTTATTTCATAAGTTTTTGTTTGAATCATATTTTAATAATTATAATTATTATTAATTTAATTAAATAATATTAAATTTACGCTTTGACTTAAAAAGAAATTAATTTAATTTACTAAGTGCGGTATCAATAATAAATGACTTAAAAATAGGTTTCATGCTTCATTATTCTGTTAACATTGAACAGTCAAAGAAAATAGTTATACATATTTTAAAACCATTCAACGTCTCGTATTTTTATTATTTTAATCGCACTTTCAGTATTATGAAAATAATTTTATTATAATGGATACCATAAATAGTTCTTGACCTTAACTCTTGTATCATTTTTACAAGCTTATGTAAGTAGTCAATATATGGAGACCGGTTCTGAGGTCAATGACAATGCCTCATATAAATAATACTTTCGATTTCGACTAATTATTAAAATATATGTACAATATAACTTATCACAGTTTTAGTTTCATTTCATGATATATACATTTTATTTTTTTGAACACAATGTTGTCTAGTGGTAGCCCAGTGGTAGCGCGCTCGTTTGGGAAACCGAGTGAAACGGGTTCAAATCCTAGGTCTTGCACTTCTGTTATTTTCATTTGCCAATAATTTCTAACATGATTACCTTACGGTGGAGGAAAACATATTGAGGAAACCTGCATGTCTGAGAAAACCTAGCAAGTTTTCGAAAAACATGTGAAGTCCGCCAACCCGCACTTGGCCAGCGTGGTGGACTATGGCCTGATCCCCCTCGCATTGAAGAGAGACCCGTGTCCAGTGTGACGTCAAAAAAAGAGCTAAATACAAATACAAACACAATGTTGTCTCGAAACGAGTTACATATTTCTTTTTTATACACATTATAAATTATAAGCTACGACTCATATGGTGTACTTAGTGTTTTAAAATTAACAATATTATTAAACCAAAACCAGAAAAAACAAACCATTTAATATAAAATATTATAATATAAATACATATAATCAAACAAGTGACAGACAAACAGACGATGTTTCAAAGCTCTTATGAAACGTACGTGGTTTATTTAATAAGTACCAGTAGGTATATTTTTTAATAATATAATATCATTTTTGCAGCCTATGGCTAACTTCAACATAAACCGTTTCCTCGGTTCGTGGTACGAAGCTGAGCGTTACTTCACTGTATCTGAACTGGGAACCCGGTGTGTACGCACTAAGTATGAGAGCACTCCCGAAGGCAGGATTCTGGTATCCAACGAAATCACCAACTCTTTGTGAGTATTTTTCTATCTACTCGTATATATGTATAATAAAATTTAGTTTTATATTAAAATATAAGTAAAAATATACGTAATCTTGATAAAAAGCAAGAAAACAGTGAACGATAATAATGGATTTAATAATACAGTTAAAAGTGAAGTAATATAAGTGTTTATATTTTTTATATATTATACATATATAATATTCTGTATAAATATTATAAATGTGAAAGTTTGTGAGTATGTATGGATGTTTGTTACTCTTTCACGCCAAAACGGCAGAACGGATCTGGATGAAATTTGGCACAGAGATAGATTTTAGTCTGGAATAACACAAAGGCTACATATTATCCCGGAAAAATATACGGTTCCCGAGGGATATGTTTTTGTTGTTCTAGAAGCGAACCCAAGCGAAGCGAGGGCGAGCCGCCCTAAATACATAACAAAAAACTACGTTCATCAATCTACACCAGCAAAAAGAAACAAATATACACCAGCAAACTCCTCCAAACTTTTTGCTATTGAGCATTAATAATATTTTCCAGAACTGGAATGAAGCGCGTAATGGATGGATCTCTACAGCTGATCGGCAGAGAGGGCGAAGGTCGCATGATCATCAAGTACTCAGCTGTCCCGGCGCCGTATGATAACGAATACAGCATTTTGGACACCGACTATGACAATTACGCAGTAATGTGGTCTTGCAGCGGCATCGGACCTGTGCATATCCGTAAGTATCATGGTTTTAATGGCAATTAATAAGTCCTTTAAAGGGAAATAATATCACATACAAAGAAATAATATAAAAGGATAAAAATATGGCACGCTATACATACTTATATCTACCTACCAAATGCTATTTTTTTAATTTGTTTTTAACAGAAAATGCTTGGATCTTAACCCGTGAACGTCTCGCTGCGCCAATGGTAATGCAAATTGCGTATACCGTACTTGAGCGCTACAGGATCTCAAGGACTTTCTTTGTGAAGACCAACCAGGCCGATTGTTACATCCTACCCAGCCCAGTAGCTGATCCTATGGATATTAAAAATGACGTGATTATAGATGCTAAGAGCGTCCCTGTGTCTCTTCCAACTGACGATAAAGCTCCAGAACCTGAAGTAAGCATACATATTACGTTGTCTTTAAAATAAATTATTTAATTTGTTGTTACATCACTTTTTTGCAGCTATAAACCTATTTTAATGTTTCATGCTACGGAACCTACGGTGTGCGAGTGAGACTCGCACTTCTCCGAAGTTTTGGAATCGGAAAAAATTGATCAAAATCCTCCATCCTGTCAGAATTTTATATTATAATAGAAGCAACAGTCTAAAATAAAAACATAAAAAAATATTATTTTTATTACAGAAGAAGGAAGAACCTGCTGTAGTAAAATCTGAAAACATTCAAGAGCGTTCAGGTATCGCTGACATTCCCGCTGAGGCTAAACCTATGGAGATGTCTGAAAAGATGCCTGAGAAAATGCCTGAAAAAATGTTAGAGAAGATGCCTGAAAAGATGTCTGAGAAGATGCCTGAAAAGATGTCGGAAAAGATGCCTGAAAAGATGTCGGAAAAGATGCCTGAAAAGATGTCGGAGAAAATGCCTGAAAAAATGTTTGAAAAGAAAGAAGAAAAATTAGAAAAACCAGAAGAAATGAAAAAAGAAAAATTAGATGAAATGAAAGAAATTAAAGAAAAAAAATCTCAATAAACGGTCACTTGAATTTTTTTAATAATATAATCAAGTGACTTTGTGATGGCTATTACTATTAGTATCTAAACAAATTATGTGTTCTTAGCTCTTAAGAACTATTGTACCAAATAAAATGCTAACATATGACAGTCATTAGATACGTAATAGTCTGTGAAATAAACTTTTTCAAAGTTCAATAAAAAAACTGAAAATTATGTTTATTTTTATTTATTTGTATAAACCTACAAACAGATATTTGTAAAGTAAGAACTGTGCGTATATACGTACAAAGTAAGTCTACATAATAAGTCCACATACTAGCTTTGCTAAGAAAATGTCTTTATCAGTCTTTCAACTTAAAGAAAAAAAAATAACGAAACTATTCACAGCCGTCAACATAAATACTCGTAGTATGATTTTGTAAAAAGTAAAGCAAAGTCTAAAAATGTCTTTAATAAAATTAACCTTTATTACTTTAACTTTGTCATATATATTTCCAAGTTTCAAAAAATAAACAAACAGCAAAACATTATATTCCTTAGACAAAAGTAAGTAAAAGAACTATGCAATTTTATTTTGTATATTACCTATCGAGTTTGAAATTACCTTTGGAAATTAGATATGAAAAATAATCTGAAAAATATTAAAATAGATAAAAAATACATAAAAATAATAATAACAAAAGGAACGGGTCTGACTGTATTGGTCGGGCTGTTACTGCGCGCCCACTCCCGGCCGCTATCCCACTACTGCCCGATGCGGGGACTTTTGGCTGCTGGGTTACCCCCCTGGCCCGGTTCGCCCCTCCTTAGTGAACCTGCACCCCCCAGACTCCTCCGGGGGGTCCATATTAACACCAGGCTTAGTGTGGACGTCCAGTCAACATGGGCCACGCAGCACCAGGACTCCCGACCTCAAGTCATCCTCCGTGCCCGACCTCCGAGTAGCCGGATTACAGGAGACGCCACGCTCCCAGTCGAGAGTACCGACGAAAATATTGTTCTGTATGTGAGTAAATGAGTTGGATTCAAAACTATTATTTGAACAAAATATATTGAATATAATTTTAAATAGGTATATATATGCCTTTCCTTTTTTTGTTTTTGTATTTTCAACATCTCTTAAATATTTTAATTAATGTACCTTTAATTTTTAACAACATTTGTATATTTTCTCTGCCAGAGCACTCTATATATTAATTAGGTAGTTATGTTTGGAAAGTTCCATAATAGTACTACAGATGGCGCTGCTGAATACTATAGTACATTAATACCCCGGTAGATGTCACTATCAACTTAAAAAATATATGACACATGTATACAATGAATACATAGATTTAGACTCTTTTCTAGATCTATTCAGAGAATGGACTGTGCATATTTTTCATATTACATTTTGTAGAGACTTTCTCAGAAATTGGCCACTCTCTAGAAAGAGACAAAGTGAACATGTGGTCAATAAGCTGTATTTTATTCCAATTTAAATTTACAAATGGAATGTAAAATGGTCATAAATATGTATATATCTTCATTAATTGTATTTCAATAAATACAGAAAACTTCTGGCCGCACATTCGTTTTGTCTCTGTTGCACCTTTCCGCCTTTTTTAGCTGACGGCTGGCAAACAAATTGAGTCCACTCTCTAATTAGTCTATGAATAAACATAACACCAATACTTTTTGATATACAAATATTATATGTACAGATTATATGTATATTATATGTATAATGATAATATTATATGTATTTTATATGTACAGAAATACACCCACATATAAACTTATTGCAATTATTATAATTAAAAGAAGTAGGCCAGAGCAGAGTTTAATAAAAATAAAAAAGAGATGAAGCCCGAAATGAAAGGTACCTAATATTATAGTATAAACTGTAATATTGCTTTTGTTTTATCATTTTAGATATAACATGTTAGACGTTAAATGTCTTAGAAATCGGTTTTTTGGTAAACAACTCGTTTTCTTCGGTCAAAATTAAATTTGGTTATTACAAAAGCTTAACACTACGAAACAGAAACTACTCTAAAAAAGTATGATTCATAAAAGAAAAAGAGAATTTTTCACAAAAGGAAAAGCCATAGTCAACTCAAAACTTTAAATTCAACTCAAGTGAATAGAAAATTTAATAACAGATTCTAAACAAAAAAAGCTTATAGAATTTACTTTATTCCTTATTTATTTTGATTCTCGATCGGACAAAAAGAATATTGTAATCGTAATAAATAATAGCTCACGTATGGCTCGCGGATACGTTAGCCGCAGTCGATACTTGACCAGTTAAAGACGCCATCGTTTTACGTGCAAAAAGTTACGGTGCGTTTTAAATGTAAGTATTAATTTCCTTGTTTAGTTATTATAATTTTAATATATTTATTTATTTATTTACTCTACTTTTAATTTTTAAAGTGAAATATTTTTAGTCTTTTTTACAAAAATGTACAATTTGTACGTTTTGTAATTCATTTTAACTTCAAACCAATTATGTTTGTTAGCTATAGATCTATCTATATTGGCTATAATTTTAGTGGCTGCTACTAACAAAAAAAAATTTAATAAAATATGATTAACTTAACCTAGACGATTTTTATTTAAGAATTATTTTGACTTTATTTATTACTAACGACTCACCCTCGCTTTGCTCGGGTTCGTCCCTAGATTGCTTCCCCATACAAAATTTCTACCCCATTTTCATCCCCTTAAGGGATGATTTCCGGGATAAAAACTATCCTATGTCCTTCCCAAGGTCTCAAAATATCTTCTTACAAAATTTCAGCTAAATCGGTTCAGTAGATCCAGAGATTACCCCCTACAACGTCACAAACTCACAAACTTTACCTTTTTATAATATTAGTGTAGATTGGCCAGAGATTTTCCTTTCCATGCTTTCAATCAAAGGCTACCCTTGCCACAGAAAATGACCTATTTTTTTCTGAATTTAAAATAAGTAACCTACTAGTACTAACCTACCGACCAACCCCGGCTTAGTCTTGTAATTTTTTTTTAATTAGACATTTCTTTAAGAATATAATTTCTGTTTTCAATTTGTAGAGGATAATTTTTGAGAAACACATTTATTTTCTATTAAATGTGATGATATAATTTTTGATACAAAGTGCGCATTGTCAGAAATACATTATTTTCAGCGAAATCTTTTTACTTTAATCCTAGGCATCCTTAATTAGTGAGTAATGATGAAGCAGTCCAATAGTAAAAGTATCCGGGTCAACATATAAGATACTTTTTACTGCAGGAAAGTTTCTCATCTCTAAGAAATTTAAAACCTGTTTAGGTAGTCCCTAGGGACTATCTAAAGAGGTTTTAACTTTTAACTATTAATTTACTCCGCTCCCTACCGCTCGGTTTCGTTCCTAGAGTGAGGGTGAGTCGCTAGTACCTACAAAAATATAATTATAGTATATTAGAGTAAGTATATTTAATTCTAGAGTAAGTATATTTAATTCTATTTAAATATACTTACTCTAATAAAAAGGAAGCTTCATAAAGAAGCATAAATTCATACATTTATAATACTTAATCAAAACAAAACTTAAATAACCTTGAATAAACCTTACTGTTCGGTCAGTAATTTTATATTCAAACAAACGAATGCTAAGTACAAGAGATGATTCTCCAAACCTTGAAGCTTTATCATTATTCTAATAGAATGTGCAAAAAATGATGTCCAATATAAATATTCATATGTGAGTAACATCTACTTTATATTTATTTAAAACAACACAAATTGACCGAATTGTATATAAATTACCAATATCCGAAGTCTGTAAAACAATTTTTTCGGATTTTTTCGCGGGTGTTTTTTAATTTTTGGTTCCCTACACTACGAATGCTTAATAGTAATCATGGTCACAGGAGAGACTCAACTCTCGTGTGGTGAAAAGTTTAAAATGCCAAATATTCGTGTAAATATAAAAAGTATTATAAACCCCGGCAATCGTGAAACTCTATACAAATCTTTGGAAAAACAACTACAGTGAACAAACCTTTACGTTTATAAAGTGGGTCAAATGCCTTCTAAATATTCAACTTTTATAATTATATTACCCTTATTGTATTGAACGTGGCACATTACGTAAATAATGTTAACCTCTTTGTAACTTGTGTCCGTTTACGAAAAGAGGTTATCAATGGAATTCAGAACAATAAATTTATAAAAAGGATACACCAATGAATTTTTATCGTATTTTTCTGTAGCATAACTACTAAAAAATATAAATACAGCACTAAACTTTCTTTTACGCATGTTTAATTAAAAATATATCAAATTAATTTTTTTTTTTTTTGGGAAATGTGACACTACCTAAGCGTGAATCAGCATCTTCGTGATTCAATTCAATTTGTCATAAAGAAAATAAAAAAAATCTATAAAACAAAATAATTTGAAACCATAAATAAGGCTTCAAATTATATTCGTGATCTAACTATCAAAATCAACCGATCTATTGACATATGAATGGTAGTCAAAATCAATTCTTACTTAATTAGTATTAGAAAAGAATAATTTTTTCATCAAATTATTAAAAGCTTATTAAAAGCACAAATCAAGTAATACAATAAAAGTTAACACAGCTCGAAAAAATAACTGTCTTTCGTAGAACTAATGATAAAAAATCAGTGAAACAATCTCTGGATCTACTGAACCGATTTAGATGAAATTTGGTAAGAAGATAGTTTGAGACCCTGGGACGGACTTTACTTTTTATCCTGGAAATAATCCCTTAAAGGGGTGAAATGGGGATGAAAGTTTGTATGGGGAATCAACCTAAGGATGAACCCGAGTGAAGTGAGGGTGAGTCACTAGTTGATATATATTTTGCTTAACTTTATATGTAAGATTTATACTATTCATATTTTGATTGTCATTATTTACTAGGTAGGTACTGGTGACTTACACTCGCTTCGTTCGGGTGTGTCCCTAGGTACGTTTTAAATCGATATGAATAGCTATTGCTAGTGTACCTTAGGAGAACGATTTATTTTGTAGCAGATTTTTCTGTAGGCCTTATTAAGATCTACAATTTTCTAGCATATTGTTTTGATGTATCTCTTATTATTTAGCCAGCGTTAGACATGTAAATTTCTGAAAACGACTCTATAGAACCGGTTATTGTGTTTTCCCGTGGAAATGAAAAATTTTCCTGTAGTAAAAGGTACCCTAAATATTGACCCGAATAAAAAGTTATCACGACACAAAATTTAGTTAAAATCGGTCATTACTTTTTGCGTGAAACGCGCAACACGATTTCGCTTACTTACTGTTTTATTATATGTACTCGTATATTATATGTATATATTCACCATTGTACTGCGGTTTTTCGTGGTTATAAATATCTAGATTACCATAATTACGAAGGTATCAATAATTAATTATTATCGCACAATTCGTATAAACAACAAAATGACTCATAGAACATTAATATTAACAACATATTATACAATAAAATTCTAACCGAGTCGAATGTGTACCTACCTTATATATTTTTTCGAAAGTCTTGTTGAAATTGTCATCATCGGTACAGAGGCGGAAATGCTAGTACCTATACAATATATAATTTGTCAAACAAATAAAAGTCGTTTAAACAACTAACTTCTGACATCTGGCAGAGAAAAGAATTTAGGCATTCTTAAGCGCTAAAAATCCTTAGCAATACACTGTTGTCTTACTGTGTTTGACCATTTTCAATGATAGCCTTCCTAATATTTACACGTAATATTAGAACAAACAAGGAGTATTTGATTTTTAAATAAAATCTTACAACATTTAATGCTTACAAACTGAGTCATTCGGTACGAAGTAAATCACGGAAGGGAATTCTTTTTATCTTCCGTGAAGTAAATGATGTAATTTTCAATATTTTGACTATTAAAGAAATGTTTAAATAAAAGTTTTTGTGTAGGATATACTTTTACGTTCAACCGATGAGAAAAATCATGTCGACTCGATGAGAATTTTTATGTATTTATTTGATAATAATATTGAAGTGAAACTTCTTTAAAATCGTTGTGATTTGAAACTCGATGAAACGAAAATGCAACACTAGAAAGAGACAAACACATAAATGTATAGATTTAACCGGCGAGAGAGTAAGAAAGAATACATTACACAGAAAGTGAAAAATAATACTGAATAATATGTTATGTAATATTTATGTTAAATAAAATTTAAAATAACTTTTAAACTTGGTAAAAAAAACTTAACTTATAAAAATGAATATTTATTACTGTGAGATGAATGTGCATAAAAGCTATTTTGACTAATTGTTGCCATGGTAACCGTTGATATTGTCTGACAGATATATAATATTATATCCTTTCCGTATATGATATTCTATCTTATATATATAAAAGAAAGTCGTGTTAGTTACTTCGCTTATAACTCAAGAACGGCTGAACCGATTTAGCTGAAAATTGGCAGGGAGGTAGTTTAGAGCCAGGAGAAGGACATAGGATACTTTTTATCCCGTTCGACCGCGTTCCAATTTTTATGATATTTTAATTTTTGGATTTCTCTTAGTTCGGAATAGGTAAGTATTAAAACATATAATTAAAATGTGAGAAAGAAAGATTTTTTCTTTTTATATCTATTTAAAACGTACCTAGCGACGAACCCGAGCGAAGCGAGGGTGAGCCGCTAGTAAATATATAATTGTAATATGCCTTATTTAATTATTGATTTGTTTTAATTTAATTACGATATTTGCCAAAGAAGCAACCGCGCGTAAGGGTTACACGTACCTATGTTGCACGTATCATGTTTTTTTTAAATTAAATTAGCATTTAAGCTCCAAAAATATTAAAATGATATACTTTTTAAAAAATTATTTCATTTAAATATTTAATAATTATTCAGAAACTAAAGCGAAAATTCAAATAAAACTGTAAATCTCTATAAAAAATGAAAATTGTAACGAACTTTTTGTCGGCATGTTTATTTCGAGGTAACAATTGTTATTATATTATATTTCATGAAAATCTTTACCTTAGCCTTTTAAAAGTTATTAGCCTTTTACGTTTGGACTCAAAAAAAAACAAAGTATAACCACAGATCATATAATACTATACTAGTAGTATAACGTAACTTAATTAAAAAAAAAAAACAAATTATAAACCGTATGTAGACAAAATCATCATCACCATCTCCCTGCCCATTTCCCAATCACTTGGAGTCGGCGCAGTACATCATCCGTACTGCTGATAGGATTTGGCAAAAGTTTTACGACCGGCCGCCTGCCTGACATCAACCCTCCTTGGGAATGCTATTGTTTATCGCGGAAAGGACCCAAGGTGCGATGACCAGCACATCTAATTTAGATTTAGGTATTAAAATTATCTGATGCCAGTAACTTTTTCGTATGTAGACAAAATATACCATCTAAAACAGCACTAAAAAAATCAAGGTAACACTTATAGATCTAACAAAATAAAACTGGTATGTTTCATATGTTTCTTTTGTACATCATTGTACTTATTGTACATGACATTACAACCTTTGTAAATAAACCAGTTTCTTGCAAGTTAAAATAACTATGTACTTGATTCAATTATCTCGCTCATTGTATTTAAAAATGTCGTCACTAAATAATATTTATCCTATTGGTTTAGGTATAGCCTTACACTACTGACTAAATAACGTAGAATTAATCAGTAGGTTCTCCAACTGTATATGTTTTACTGAAACAAACTTTTACCGACTGATCAAATCTGTTACCATATTGTCATAGTAGAGTATAAGCAATGTAATTATTAAGTATTCGTATTGATCCCTTTTTAACTCCCGACGCAGAAACTACGGGGTGTTATGAGTTTGACGTGTGTGTGTGTATGTGTTTCTGTCTCTGGCATCGTAGCTCTCGAAAAGATAAACCGATTTTGATTTTGTATCTTTTTTTTTTCAAAGTTAAATTAGTGGGGAGTGTTCTTAGATATGTTTGATGAAAATCGGTTCGAGATGGCCGCCGCCACAAAATGGCGGATTATATATTTTTTATTTATTTAATTAAATTTAGTTATTAACGTCCCGCTGGACACGGGCCTCCCTCATCATTGTCTTAATATTATATTATTATTATAGGTTTAGTTAGTATAAGCTATAGTCTTAAATTAGATAAGAGGGTTCTGTGGAAGGTTAGACGTACACAGGGTATCCTAGTGCGTGCGCCTCAGTACTCCATTGCCCATGTTTTGTTAAACAATAATTGTTATTAGATTAAGGATTATATACAAATATACTCTACTAATCCGTTTTTGTTATTACGAAATTAAATGAAATGAAAAATAAATACGAAGGGGAAAATAGAATTACGCTGACCAAGTCGGGTTGGCGGACTTCACATGTCTTTCAAAAAGTTGCTAGGTTCTCTCAGACAGGCAAGTATCCTCACAATGTTTTTCACCGTAACACAATGATTCGCACGTGAATTTTTTTAGAGTAATATTATTATATTATTTTCTTTAAATAATTTCAGATGTCAGTGCTCAGGGCTATAGCAGTGTTTCTGTGCGGGTTGCTGTCTTTACACACATGTAGAGCTCAGGTCATTCTTCCTGGGCCATGTCCTGACATCGCTCCATTAAAAGTTTTTGAACCTAGTCGAGTAAGTTCATTACTCTTGTTGTACCTTGTATGTTATTAGTGATCCTATTTATTTATCGATTTCGAAAAAAGAGGTGGAGTTTGTAGTGGCTCTACTAGCTGTGCCAGCGGTCGCGGGTTCGAGTCCGGCTAGGGCCATTCATTTGTGTGATGAGCACGAATGTTTGTACTCCAGTAATGGGTGTTTATATTTATATTATGTATTTATATGTATGATTATAAAATTGAAATGAAAATTATATTAATGAACACATTACTTTTACTTGTAATCCCACCTTTATATAATTTCAAAAAAATGGACAACTGTAAAATAACTTTTATAAAAGTAAAATTGAAGTCCGTATATTTTTCTATTTGGTCGGTGTTCTATACCTATCGTTAAAATCTTTTAAGCTTACGACGAGAACACATTGCACAACTTACTTCGCTTATGTCAATATGATAAGTAAATAGCCAATGGAGATACAGATTCAATCAATTAAAAGAAAAAATATTTTTCGATGTAATTTTATTATATGTGTACATACATACATACCTGTCAATGTGAAATTTCTTATTCCTGTAAAATACGTAAATGTTTGAAATCGTCCTTAAGACAACGCGAAGTTGACCAATTTTTATATGTATAGTAGCGACTCACTCTCGCTCCGCTCGGGTTCGTCCCTGGGGTGGGCTCTGGAAGGACCACCCTGATCCTTATCACTTAGGGGTATGGAAAATAGATAGTAGCCGATTCTCAGACTTACTGAATACGCATATAAAATTTGGTATAAATCGGTAAAGCCGTTTCGGAGGAGTACGGTAACAAACATTGTGACATGGAAATTTTATATATAAGATAAAGTATTTCTTTATATATTCTTCTTTATATGTTTAAAAAGTATTATTTATTATGTTTATTATTACGTATATCTTCTTTCCAGTATTTAGGAAAATGGTACGAATACGAGAAGTACTTTGCAATATTCGAAGCAGGAGGCAAATGCATCACTGCCGATTATAGTTTAGCTGATGGAGGAGCTATAGGCGTTGTCAACAAACAAATAAATATTTAGTAAGTACTTGTAAATTATTAAGGAAAAGTAAATTTACTATTTAAATAATAATTTCAAGCAAGAAATTTTCTTAAGTTTTTGAAACATTTTAAAGCCAATATTATATAAACAAAATCAATAATATTTTTCTTTAATGCTCTCTATTTATTTTTTCTTCTATCTTATTTATAAGTACAGACTTAGGTCTCAACGTCCTATAATAACAATAATTAAAATGTGGTTTTCGTTTCTTTTTAACATTTCCTTACTATGATTTTATAAAGAATTTGTTTTTTTTAATATATGTATATTATTCATACACTTACAATTTTAGTACAGGAAAGCCGTCGCAAATAAAGGGACAAGCGGTACCAGAGTCACAATCTCAAGAAGCCAAGCTATTAGTTAGATTCCCATCTTTACCGGTCAGCATAGACGCACCCTACTGGGTCATTGATACTGATTACGACAACTATTCACTAGTGTGGGGTTGCTTACAACTGGGACCTTTCCATTTAAGTATGTTTTATATATTATATTTATCTCATAATCCAAATATATATTATGTAATAATTAGCGACCTTCGCTTGGCTCGAGTGCGTCCCCAGGTGCTAAACAATAGACTATGTACGTACCAGAAGTATGTATGTACTACAAAAAAAGCTACTAAACGTAGCCTTCTTTTTGTTTTTTAATGTTAGGAAATGCATTTATGCATACCACCTGTATACATAAGGTGGTTATGTTGGACTCATCGGCTAGAAAAGCCAGTACTACCCACTAAAACCCAATAGAACCTCCCTCGTCTTAATGGGACGTCGCAGCATCCTTACGCCCTCAACCACGACGCCCTGACGGCAGGTCTATCGAAGCAAACCACAACAACTAAGGGGTTGCTCCTTATCTCAGTCTACTCGGCTGTCAGACAAGTATCAGGAGCAACCTGCATGGTATGCCACCCACCGACGTGGGCCACCTCCCGACCCTACCACGACATGGTGAACAATGTGTTTAGTAGTTTAGTCTAACTGTGAATTAATTTTATATTAGATCTAAATAATATTAGAATTTCATCCAAAACAAATATTTTTTGTATATTTTATAATAGTAAGTATGATTAATTGTAAAATTAAAATTTGCTGATTGCAATTTTTTCAGATAACGCCTGGATTCTAACAAGAAAGAGAAAACCAGGAAAAGAAGTCTTACAGAAAGTATACGATATAGCTAACGCGAACAAAATTGACAAGAGCTACTTTTTAAGGACGGACCAGAAGAACTGCCCTGAAGATGCATGAATATGTCAAGTGTTATACAGACACTATTTACTTAATGTATAGTGCCTTTATTTATTTATTTATAAGTAATGCTAATCTAATCTATATACTTAGTACATACTCATAAATTCAAACCTCGAAATATACTTGCGATAAAACGTTATAGTAACATTAAGTTAAGTAAATAAAATAGGTCAAGTGCGAGTCGATTTCGCACACGAAGGGGTCCGTACTGTCATACATGTATTTTTTATTATTATTTTTTACTCTATGTATATAATATATAATAATAACTTCGATGATCGATTACAAACATAATTTTTTATTATTTGTTGTTATAGCGACAATAGAAACCAACATATTTTGTGAAAATTTCAACTCTCAACCTATTACGGTTCATGAGATACAGCCCTCTGACTGATGGACCGACGGACGACGGGGGCTTAGTTATTTTACAGATACGCTTGGCTCAGTTTGTAGTGACCCTACTTGCTGTGCCAGTTATCACGGGTTCGAGTCCCGCTGGGGGCATTCATTTGTGTGATGAGCATGAATGTTTGTACTCCATTCATGGGTGTTTATATTTATAATATGTATGACGTATGTAATTATATATGTGTAGTGTATCAACTATCTGGTACCCAAAACATCCAGGTAAATTTCTAAGAAATCTATTGTTAACTGTAACGCCGGCGTGCCCGCGGTCGTGGAGTGATTAAGCCTCGTAACTTACTATGGAACTAGATAGTGCTGTGTTAACACACAGCCCATATCATACATACGCATATTTATTTATTTAAAAAAAAATAGCTAACTCGCACTGGACCAGCGTGTTGGACTATAGCTTGATCCCTTTCGTAATGAAGGAAGGTTAGTGCCCAGCAGTGGGTCCTATACCAGGAATACAATTAATACATATCGATAGTGACAAAATAAAGTTCCATATAAAGCTTACGTCCATACATTGGATTTGTATATAAGAAATCATTTATTACTTTAATTTAAAGATAATCAAAAAATATTTCGAAGCTCATGTAGCATTTTATTTTTATAACCATCCGAAGGTAAACGTCTAAAAAAAGACGGTGTTTATTAGACTTCATTGTCAGCCAGAACATACGAATCATTACAGTTTTTTACTATTTCAATGTTTGATTTATAATTTACTAGCATTGCCCGCGGCTCCGCCCGCGTTCAGATGACCAAAAACTAAATTCTTAGGTGTTACATATTAGTATACTCTTACATTGCAGTTTTTGTATTTTTCCTCAGAAATAAGATATTTTCCCGCGGTAAAAAGTATCCTAGGATCGCGCGCTACATCGCCCGGTTTATATAGCTTGAGCAGGCGGTCGAGCGATGCGGGGCAGAGGGGATGGACTCGCCGTAGGCATCTCAATGCTCGCCAAGCATTAAAAATGTTTCGCTACTAATTACTTCTAACAACGATATCTCAAAAACCTATTCATCTAATTGATTTAGTGTAAAGAGCAATTTAATCTGCATTAAATGACTAAGCTAACTAAAATATTCATTTGGATAAGGATTAATACCGAACTAAAGAAAATAACTTTGAAAATAACGTAATGTTTTTAATTAAAAATGTTAACATAAAAGTGGTTATTGTAAGTCAACCGTAAGAGATAGAGATATGCTATCGCGGACTTTTTTGTAGCATTTTTATAGATTTTGAATTCTCTAGTACATTACTTAACTGTATCTTTGCTAGTTTACGCGGCGTTCGCGTGGAAAGTTCCCATTTGGCGAGATTTTTTGCGACCTCTTCAACATTTGTCGCCGTATTTCAGCTAATTTACATAAAAGCATAATAAATTATATACCTAAACCTTCCTCAAGAATTACTCTTTCTATTGTTGAAAACCGTATAAAAATCCGTTCAGTAGTTTTCGAGTTTATCGCGTACAGACAGACAGGAGGACAGACAGGAGGACAGAAAGACGCGGCCGGGGGACTTATTTTTATAATAAGTATAGATTTTAAATATTTGTAGCTTTCTAACATAAATCAAATTTATTTTTTACCTGAGAAAATTCAGCTGTTTACTAAATCACAACAGCTTTTTACTAAATTTATATGAGACTACGAGCATATACGATATTTATATGAAAAAATCATTTTAAAAATGTTTGTCTGTTTGTCCCGGTTCTAATCTCCGAAACGGCTGGACAGATTTTGACGGGACTTTCACTGGCAGATAGCTTATTATATAACTTAGGGTATTTCTATTTTAGAAATAGAATTAGGGTTCCGCTCAAAAACCCCTTACTAAACCCTTGTAAAAACTATGAAATTTTAAACAAAATCGGCATACCCAGGGATGCACCCGAGCGAAGCGAGGGTAAGTCGCTAGTTTATAAATAAACTGTCGTCTAAATTAAAATTAAATTAAATCAATATTATACATCATTTCTCCATTTAAATCCCGCTAATACATTCACAAAAATAACAAGGAAATTTTATCAAAAAACATTTTAATCTCAATTTACGTAATACATTAAATATATAAAATGTTATATGAATATGGAATCAAGTGGGTGTACTATCATCGGAGTGCCAACTTTTCCGTTTCTCCCGAGTAGCTTCATCGTATGTAGGGGGAGGGGGGAGGTGGTCGCTTTTAGTTTTAGAAGGCTTAGGGGTTGGTGCCAGACGGTCTTCTTCTGCTTCTTCTGGTATTGAGTCCCGACGACGGTCGAATTCAGATAGGGCCGGTTGGGATATGTTGTTCCGTTGCGTCAGTTTTGGTGCGCTATTTGCCAGCTGTAAAGTAAATTTATGAAAAATTTATAACTATCGCTATTTTGGTACAAAATTTTAATAAAATATATTTCTAGCTGTTTTATATTACACAATATTATGTAATAACCTCGTTCATGTAGTGGCTAGCTTGTACGGAAAGTCCAGAGGATCTGGGTTCGAATCACAGACCAATTAATTTGGTTATTGGCGTCTTCTTTTAAGATTTTTTTAGTATCCCGGAGTTGGAAAATTGACGATGTTACATCCCGTGTCTCGAAGAGCACATATAGCAATATTTTAAATAGGTAATAAAGCTTATGACTTTAGATGTAAGAGATAAAACTCCGGAACTTCTAGAGGAAAACGAGAACAAACCTATCCCATGGGGACCGTATATTTCTTCGGGATAAAAAGTAGCCTATGTGTTGTTCCAGACTATAATCTATCTTTCTGCTAAATTTCATCCAGATCCGTTCAGCCGTTCTTGCGTGAAAGAGTAACAAACATCCATACTCACAAACTTTCACATTTATAATATTAGAATAGAATTTAAAAATAAATATCTTTCACTTCCATAATTCAGGGATAACTTTTTGAAGCTATTAAGGATCTAAGCTATGAAGGTAATCCAATGGATAAATCATCCAACTCCAAACATTACTCAGATTTGACATAAAAACCATGTCACAAAATAGTCAAACTATTGTCGCTTATCAACAATTAATATTGTAACAATACAAATATTTCCAACTTAATAAGACTCTTAATTAACTTATTATTTTAATCAACGTTTTCTGTTGTTACTCTGTTAGCAGTGCAATAAATTTGAACTAAGCCAGGCTTAAGTATGATAAAGTGTTTAAATATAGGAACCAGTGAAACGTTTGACAAGGTTTTGGTTTATTTGTTATTAGATTTTATTATTACTTATTTGTTTTTTAATAATGATTTAGATTCTGTTCGAAACTTCATTTAACAAAATTCTTTATGTTTTCTATCTATATACGAGTATAGGTATAATATTAAATTGTAATAAAGCGAAATCTGTAATTGGTTTTTTCTTCGTGTTGTGTACAAAATATAGACTCCAGAATAATAGTTATTGTAATTTTTATCTGTTTGTCTGTTACGCAAAAAGTACAGAACAGACAGATTTTAACTAAATTTTAATTTTTGATAACTGATTACTCGGGTCAACATTTAAGAGACCTTATACTACAGGAAAATGTTTCATTCCCACGGGAAAACACAATAACTAGTTCTGTCAATTCCTTAGACATGACTTACGTTGACTAAACCTTAAAAGATAAACCAAATCAATGTTCTAGAAAATTATATGTTTTAAAAAAGCCTACATACATGCCTATATAGCATATGTCTAGTTCCTAACAATAATTCTATATTCCTCTATTCAAAACATACCCAGGGTACGTAATGGCTAGTATTTTATAAAAAAAACACTCATGAATTTTATGAACTGAAGAAAAAACAAGTACCTGAACAGTATATCGCTACTTTTTCATCACTTTAACTTCACTAGGAAAATTTCAATTGATTTAATATTAGAAAGAGACAAGTTTATGAGATTGTTAATTAAAAGTATAAAGCATTCAGAAATTATATACCTATACCCGCTTTTAAATAAAAGAAAGTATTATATGTATACCCGCTTTTAAGGTCTAGTTTTAGTTTATAACATGACCTTAGCATCCGTATATATATGTCTAACAGTAGCCGATGTTTTACTCCAGGTATTAATCTATCCGTGTACAAAATTTCATCCAAATCCGTCCAGCCGTTTTAACATGATGGAGTTACAAACATACATATACAAACTTTCACATATATAATTTAGACTCCTTCTAGTTCGGGCGTAAAAAACGTACACCCGAAGTGAGAATCGTCTTTTTTTAAAGTCTAAAAAAATATATGCCTCACCTTATATTGATGTGGTCTGTTCTGACTGGACAATACGGGATTGGATATAATATGGCCTTTTCCTTGTTGATGGTTGATTTCTAACGCCGATCGCAAAAGATCTACTTTCGAGACTGAACTTTGGGGAGTTTTGGGCGATATTTCAATATTACTGCACCGGCGTTGGCTGTTGCTGCCGCTACGACTGCGACATAACTCATTTATGTCGCCTTGGGAAAGCTATAAAAGAAAATATACTTATATTGCCGGTCATAGGATTTCCCTACTGGTTGTTTTTGGAACTAACGATAGTGGCTTATGGTACTATTTATTTAAATGTAATAGTTCTGATTATTTTATTGACTGTGTCACTTTGTACTTTAGTTTCATAACATACTCTAGGAAAACAAAAATAAACCTATCCAACGGGAACTATACATTTTTTCGGGATAAAAAGTATAGGGATAAATGTGTTAGTCCAGAATATAATCTATCTCTGTGATAATTTTCATCCAGATCCGTTCAGCCGTTCTGCCGTGAAAGAGTAACAAGCATCCATGCTCACAAACTTTCATATTTATAATATTAGTATAGATGTAAGTAGTAATTCATAATTAAACCAATGGTCTAAGTTAATTTTGTGACTTATAGGTAGGTATCATTATCATCCCCAACATACACTTTTTTAAAATTTTCAATTTTTATCAATAGGTAAACAAATTTAAATTGTGCATTTACAAGTACTTTTATTTAGTTTAAAATTACCACGATAATTTTAACATAATGTATGTATGTATGCATATGCTTATAAAATAATCGCTACAGACAAACAATATATTTTTGAAATACCTACAAATATATATTAAAAGAAGAAAAATAGTGCAAATATAGTGCCAACTTACTCTAGCTCTAGAACCTCTAGAGAGTGAATGCAAAGAACCAAGTGGATTGAAGCGAGTGATGATGTGAAGTCTTTCAAGAGAGATCATGGTCTCAGCGTCTTTGCGCAGCGGTTCACCGTTCAGTTTATCGCCTTCGCCACTTTCTATGGAAAAACTTTACTTGAAATATTTCAATAATATTCGGTATGGTGATAACGGATTCGATTCCGTACACAGTCATTTTTGTTTACTATGAATTTTGGATGGACTGATCCTCACTATTCCGTAAGAACTTTTACGCAACTCAAAAATACTTCATACAATTTTATGAAGTACCAGTGACTTACGCTCGCGTTTCTCGGTTTAAATGTTTTAGGTACGCATAAAAGAAAAAGGTACAAAAAAAAATTCTTTTTACGCCATGAACTTTTGCAAGCGTATACAGAATAACCCACCAGTTTCATCAAAATCGGATCAGTGGTTTAGGAACGCATGGAGGACAAACATACGAACATTCATTTTCATTTATATATAGACAAAAAGATAGCGTGAATTCGTGTTACATGAAAGCTCTTACAGAATGACGTCATACGATGTTTGATGAATACTGTTGTAGTAACTACAGAAATCTATTCATTTTAATATTATTAATAATGCATACATTTATGTAAATAAAAATATTCATAAATCAGTTTAAAGTAATTCCTATAATTAGATAAACTTATTTTAATAAAACTTTCACGAACTTATGAAGTCAGTCAGTAAGTTTTTTTTATATTAGATTTAGTACTTACCAGTATCCGGATCACAAACATCAGGGATCCTCTTCATAGTTATATTTCTAAGCCAGAAATAATGCAAAAGTCCATATAACACTCCACCAAGGAATGCAATTAGTCCCATATAACGGAACGCCTCTCTAGTTCCTAATGAAGCAATCAGGAGACCGCCCCCGAAACTACCACTGCCTCTACCTGCAATTCATTGAATAAATATTATTTAGTCTATAGCCACTATATATAATACTAGCGACTCACCCTCGCTCCGCTCGGGTTCGTCCTTAGTTACGTTTTTATGTTTGGTATAGATTTCTCAGAAGTGAGATATTTTCCCCACTAAAAAGCATGCTATATGTTGACCCAGGTAACCATTTTATCATCATACCAAATATGATCAAAATTTGTCTTGTGGTTATCTCATGATGTGGTCACAGACAGACAGACATACAGACAGACAAAAATTCTAAAAACTATAGATATGGCCTCGGTATCGATAATAAAATTACGCTTTCAATAAGATTTTCCAAAAAATATTTAATTTACAGATTTGACTCAGTCTCCTTCACACTAAAACGGCTTGATGGATTTGGATGAAATTTAGCAGATATGTAGATAAAACCTGAAGTAACACATAGGCTACTGTTACGCTCCTAGGAACGCATCGAAGTCACTTACTGGTTCACTCTATATTTAAAAAATTGTGTATTATTCGTTAGCAATTTTGTTTTAACTTTCAAATATTCTTCTTTATTGATAACTAGTTTTCTTGTTAAGGATTCCAATATATTTCCGGGACCAAAAGTATCCAAGAGTATTGTATGGCACTCTCCGGTCCACTAACTTTCAATAATATACATATGCAAATAATATTGCTAATAATGTCCCTTGTTAAAAGAATGACAAACAAAATAACTTTGTCATTTCTAACATTACTAATACATAATATATTAGTAGATATTGACATAATTATCAATACATAAGTAATAATCGAGTTCTAAATGAAATAATTTGCAAAAGTCATATTTATACACTAAAGCTAAAGCTATTTTCAATAGAAACTACACCAATATATATATGTAAAGATATATTTCTGGAATACCCACCCAGACTGAAATGTGCCATGCCCAGCACACCAATCAATGTTGCAAGTAAGCTCTTTGGAGCCAACATAGCACAGTATGTTGCCGCCGCGACCCACATCAGGTGCACAGACAGTGACTCCATGGCTTCAAATGGGAAACACCACCAGGAATTTCTATAGAATAGACGAATAATAAAAATATTAACATAACAACCTAGGAGTGATATGTACAATAAATGACTACCTTGTCTGTTTATCTATTAGGTAATAGTAAGTTTTTGGTCGCTGATTCGATTCTTGACGTATTTTCACTCAGATATGATATGTGTAATACGGTATATATGTATTAATAAAAAATCAGATCTCAAAGAGGTAGTACCTAATTCGGATGTATATAATAATATATATTCTGTGTAAGGCGATATCTTTCCCTCATACTTCTTTTTGTAATCATTATTTAAAAAATAATAAAGAAAATTGATTCAACTCAAAAGTACTCCTATAAAAACTTAAAAAAAATTAACCCCCAAAGTCAGCGTACATTTTTAGAAACTACTGCAGTTTTTTTAAAGGTTATTCTATACACTAATCCAATTTGAAAATAAACTTTAAACTCCTTCCTTCTTATTATTCTATTTAGAGTCCGTATTTCCTTCTTCACTACGTAATCTTAAGCATGTCATTTCGTCCTTTTCCATTAAAATACCATTTACCGAGTAAATGTATTTATGACGATCAAGCATTGTCAAGTTTATGAGCACAACGATCGTAGGTGTGACATCCACACACCGTTTATAGAATTTATGTTATTATTCTTCCACTATTCATTGTATACAACATAGTATGTATGATTGTTTGTTTGATAAGAAGTTATAGCAAAAAGAAAATGATCCATTTCAGTTTCTTTGAACAATAAAAAGAGAAAGTAGAGGTTCGGTCTATTATCCGCTTTCTACAGCTCTCCAAACTTAGTCTAAGGAAGATCAGTCTATATTTTTATATATTCAATCTAAGGAAAATCGAATCCATGGTCTCCAAAGCAGAAGGTAATGTCAGTCGGACACGTCATCCGCTAGGCCTCTATGTTATATCAAATATATCGAGTATCAATATAAAAATTATTACAATTCCATGTATTTTTCTATAAATTAGATTAACCACTGTGTCGTACCTAACGATGTATTGATAAAAATTGGCATACGAATAAAACGAAAAAAAGTAAGAGTGAACCATGATATGATCAATTTTAAATCATAAAAGTAACGAGTAAGCAAGAAAAAGTAACAAATGTTCTGGACATTAGCAGATACAAACAATTTTTTTTTTAAATCTTTAATTGGAATTTGATAACTGCAAATAGCCATATCAGCTCACTACAAGGTAGCTATTTTCAAATCATAGATGTTTCTATTTAGATATAGATTAAATATAAATATATGTGGGTTTGCGTGAAATGATATTTTAAGAATAAAAGGGGACACATGATTTAATTTTAAGGATGGAATGAAAGGAAAGATGAATAAAAGAAAAGAAGGATGTTTTGTCATAACGGCGGCACGACGTTTTCTATCATTTGAATAAAATAAATAGGTAGTCAGTACGTTTAAACGCTTTATTTATATCCCCGGATCCTACATATACCTACATTTAAATGTTATTCTCATCTTTATACATATAATGTTCTGTAACAGTAGTAATGTTGTCTTGGTAATCTTCCAATCTCATTGTCAGTACAATTGAATAATACAAGTTTATCAGATAAGCGGCGATTGTTGTGTCACTAATTGTCAAACGCAGCATTCTAATACATCTCAAATATTTCGAGGCAATGTCTATTTTACTCGTATAGGCAATCTAAATATATCTTTTCCGATTTATTCGCGGATTTATTTTGATTTTTGGTTCTCGATGTTTCAAATATTTACAGCAATCATGGTCACGAGATTGCTGTAAAGCATTCGAAACGTCTCGGGAACCTAAAATCGAAATAAATCCGCGAAACAATCCAAAAAGATAGGTTAAAAGAAAAATGTAAAGGTAGAAAAACAAAAACAAATTTATCAAATTCGTTCAGCCGTGGCGTGATGATTGAGTAACAAACATCCTTCCAAATTACGCATTTATAATATTATTGGGACTTAAATATTTAGGCCGCGATCAAAGAGAAAGAATGTTGAATTAAATTCAGAGTAATTGGCGTAAATGCAGCTCTTGTTTTGCATTTATCAAAAGCCCAGTGACCCACGTTTGCTCCGCTGGGACAGTGACTATGGATTCGTTGATCCCTTGCTCTACTAACCACTACATGAATAAAAGACGAATAAACACACACTCACATTTATTATATTAGAAGGTTAAACATTTAATTAAATATAAGTATGTATCCTGAGGTAGCCAAGTAAGTGGCAATGTGCCCCTTGGATATTTTCATGGTCGAATCATTTTCAATTTGATTATAATTTATATTTTTATCTTACGGCGAAAGAAAACATCGTGAGTGAGCGGTTTACTTATGCATACATTAAGTTTATAACTTATATGGTCATTTTAAGGACTTCTATCTTTAATAAAAAAAGTATTAATATTCAGCGAAATCATCAACGATTTTTCGTCGATAAAAGCTCACAAGATTCCATTCATTAACTCTGTCCTTTAATTTCGAATAATTTTTGTATTTGACTATATCTACACATGTTTATTCAAATAATTTAATTTGTTTCACAATAAATACTTAAAACACTTGACAAAAAAAATATTATCATTTTATTTCGAAAATAATTAGAGGCCTCCACTCCTTTGTTGCCCTAGCCTCCAGACCACTAAATCCGGCCCTGAGTAAACTTACAAGTCTGCGAGAGCCTAACCAATTTTTCAAAGACATGTAAAAACCGCTAAATCTTATATAACCAGCATGGACTATGGCCTGATCCTCCTGAGAGTTAAAAGGAGACCTGAACCTAACATTGGGACGTTAAAACCGATGAATTAATATTATTACGTATAATTATAATTAATAACTTACTCAATAAAGGAATATCCGACGAGTCTCGCCGCGTGTGAGAAGAAAGCGACGATGATAACATTGACGTGGCCTATACGCGAGGTGATGGCGTCCGCGCCGTACAAAAACGGGATGCTTGAGAGAGTACCCACTGTCACTGTTATACCTGGGGATAACCAATTAAAATATGCCTAAGTAAAACATTTAAGCTTCCCTGATCGATTTTAGTGGTGGCACCCACTAAAGTTTTCTAAAAAAAGTAATAATTATTAAAATAACAGCTAAAATTAAAAAAAATTCCATATTCAATTATAAACCTCATTAAAATTATAAAAATGTTTAAAATAAAAATTAACAAATATTGTAACTGGTAAGGTATTTTGCTGCCATTTTATTTAATTTTTAATTCATATTGTTATTTTGTGGGTAGGCTGTTTGTAACAAGTATGTAAGACATCTAAAACTTCAGATTCTCTCGTGACCATGATTGCTGTGAAACATTCGAGTCGTCGGGAACCAAAAATCAAATTAAATCCGCGAAAAAATCCGAAAAGATAGTTTTATTTAAAACTAGCAGAACTCGCGGCTTTGCTCGCGCTAAAACTACAATAAAACTCTAAAAAGTGTGTTTCATAAAATCTTTCATCCCCTATTTTACCCACTTCGGGGTTGAATTTTGGAAAACGCTGAAATACGTAACTCATTATTTTTGCAGTACTCAATTCATACGACGTTTCATGCAAATATGTCCAAGGAACAAAAAGTTTCATACAAACTTTTATCCCCTATTTCACCCCCATAGGGGTTGAATTTTGAAAAATCCTTATTTAGGATGCCTTTGTCACATGAGGAATACGTGTGCGAAATTTCAATTTTCTAACCTTAAGGCCTGTGCGTTGATACATCAGTCAATCACTTTTGCCTTTTATATATATAGATCTCAAACATTCGCATAAATCTAAAAAAGTATTAATATGGACTTACCCAACAAAAAGTTTGGCGCACCCAATTCCTTCAAATACAAAAACAGATACGATTCGATGAATCCCCAAAAGTTACCCAATGCGAAGAGGAAGAAAATGAATATAATTATGTGTGGCATTTTAATTATATTAACTAGATCGCGTAATAAGTTGTCAGCTGGTAATTTTGCACCTAACGGCATAACAGCGACTGTTATAGCCGATATGAGAAGCAGAGCATCGTATGTGTAAAATGCTGCTGAGTAATCTGTGTAACCTGAAATAAAGCATTAATTTGTTATAACTTTCGTTTCCTCATACATAGACATACATTACACACGTATATATTTAGGTATGTATAGATAAATAACCGACGATAAACTTCAGAATTGCTTACTTGAAAATTATATTTTTGTTGGCTTTGTTGGAAAATAATATTACATATTAATAATAATATGATGAATATTTCAACCATATTTTGCTATTTGTAAAGCTTTCTCTTATTATAATGTTGAAAGCTTTTTAAATGTTCATTATAGTTAGTTGATTTTAATGAAGTCCACAAAGGATATTATAACATGAACTTTTGTTTAGAAAACTAATTTTTAATCAAATAATATTTCAAAATCATTCAAAGAATATTTGAAAACACTATATGCATAAAAACTGCACTGTGCCTAATTAACGTCAACACTACCACAATAGTGCAAAAAACAAATACGTCATTAAAAATAATCAAATATCATCCATTATCATTATATATAACAAATAAATGCGTTTTAACTTGACTGATATGAAAAGCGTAACAAATACAGAAAGCTAAATAGTAACCTGAAACAAAACAAAACATTTAACACTATTGACATTGAAGATAGCGATTACAAAACTACTTACCGACTTGTTTGCTTCGCATATCTATCAACATGCCTGTGATAGGTGAAAATATGGCCATTCCGATGCTCGAAAATAGTCTTTCTCTGCCAAAATCTCCACCATATTTCTGTATCATGGTTAAAGCTATAGGATCCATGATGGTCACTCCTGCTGATAACATTATAGTTCCCATGAAACGTAGGAAGAAGTATATGTAGAAGGTTTTGTCATCGCTCTCTTTGTAATCCGGTGGGCATATATCCGGACCTCCTTTTCTAAAAGTAAAGGTTAGTGTCAAAAGGGAAAGGTTGAAAATAAAATCTTAAAGTCTAAAAAATTTTAAGATTACTTTAGAAGAGAGCTTACAGTAAAAGACGTTACATTTAAGAACCCACACACCCTTGACGATCGCGACCAAGACCATGGCCGGAGTGATCAACAATTTATATCATTGTCGTGGTCACTTATTGGTCATGTAGTGTGCAGTATTAAATATAACATAGTATGTAAATAATAATTGGTCCTTGGTGACCGTACAATTGTTTTAGTGGCATGTATATTTAATCAATAAATAATTATCTCCTAGGTAAACACAATATAAAAAATTTCAATCAAAAACTAAAATACTTTAGAACCAAAGAGACTTTCATAGACTTACCTAAAATCACATTTCTGTACCATACAATCAGCTGCCAAACTCTCGAGTCGTTGCTGAGATAGTTTCGTCATATTATGCAGCATCACCAAACCGCCGCATCTCAGATCCTCTTTATCTAACGCGGTGATGTTTACACCTTGTGCAAGCAAAAGTTTCTCGCCAAACCTTGATCTGAAATCCGTTACTGTATCATTGTCGTCCTACAACAATGATAATAACGTCATGAAACAATCATATTACTTATGAGTTTAAATTTATACAATAGATCTGCTATAAATGCAATTTTGTGTGTATATGTTTTTCATACCCATTCACGTTGGTTAGACAGATACGGATAAAATTTAGCACGTCGATAGACCATAGCCTGGAGTAACACATAGCCTAGATAGGCTAGATTGCTTCTGAGCGTAGTGAGTGTAAGTTGATTGTACTTATATAAATTAATAGTAGAAGTAGCGGTTTTTTTTATTTCTAGTTTTTTTTTAAATATTTAAGAATTAGTACCTATTAGGTATGTAATCTGTAATATAAAATATCTACAAAATATGTAATATTCTCAGTAATAAACGCTATTTTATTTTTATTTATTTGTATAAATTAATAAAGTAACATCTAATTGGTGATAAAAATATATTACATCACCTTTTACTATAAAAATTATCAAAGTAAATATAATAAAAGTTTTATTTATTTATTATTAAACAGTCGATCAATTTTATTAGTTTTGATCATCTCGGAAGATTGATCTAAATTCCTAACCGCTTTTCCAAAATTGCCTAAATAGACGCCAAACATACCATGCGAAATGCTGGTCATTGAGACGTTCTCGTAATAATTGTGTTTGTATTGTGAAATAATCTTATGGAATAGCAATTACATTTCATTTATACTAATCTAATGTGTACCGCCACTGTTTACGTTCTTTAATAAAAAGATATAACAAACTAAATTATACGTTTCTGCGTAAATTTAGTCACTCTGATAATACTTGAGTAATATTACGAACCCTTTCCATTTCAATGCCAAGCTGTTCTTTTGGTTCACCCAAATCATCGTGCACTTCTATCAAGAAGAAGGCTGCATCATTAAATTCTTCTTCTTCTTCGGTCATATTTAGAAAGCTAAAAAAATATATTTGGCTGTGATGTTACAAGTTTTTTTAACTATGATTTTATTGAAGACATTTTAAATTTTATTTCTTGGTAAGTATATTTTGTTATAATCTATATTTATATTTAACATTCTTATTGGTATAATGAATATGTGAGAAAGGCCTCAATTACTCTATACCTGCTACCACCAAATAAAGCTCCTCACAATACACTTTGTGTATGGTGTGTTTGGTGAAATTTCATTGAAACGATGAGGAAAAATAATACGGAAATGTTACAAAATCTAAAATACAAGGTAAAAAACAATATAAATTGCACAGTTGAATGTACTTGTTATCTTGCCAAATCCATAGGCTCTAAGGAAGGCTTAGTAACAATTAAATGTTTGTAGTATCGTTTCCGTTTATTTACAGTACTATTAATGGTTTTAACGTTAGGTAAACTGACGTAGACATAATGGTAATTATTAATTGCAATTTTTCTCATACGTTTCAAATTCAAATTAACTGTTAAACACTTAATTTTCGATGAAATGAAGTATGTAATTTTAAATAAAACTATCTTTTCGGATTATTTCACGGATTTATTTTGATTTTTGGTTCCCAAAAAACCAAAACCCAAGGGAACCAAAAATCTAAATAAATCCGCGAAATAATCCGAAAAGATAGTTTTATTTAAAATGTCAAATATTCGCGTAAATCTAAGAAAGTATTATGTGAAGTATGTAACTTAAGAAATAATGAAAAGTTTTATTCAAAAATAATAAAGATATTCGCAGCTTCGATTACATCACGGTGCAAATGATTTTATTGGCCATATGTATATGAGTATTATTTTAATGTTTCCTGCCTAGTAGTAGGTATTGCCACTTAACTTGATTTATATAGATGATATAGAGTAGGTATACTTACGCTTCTGTAGGGGGGTATAGGGTTTATGATTGATATACCTAGAGTATATGATTCTTAAACACAGAATTTGATACTACTAAAGAAAGCAAAATAAATCCTAGAAAAATATAGCGCGTGGAAATATCAACATGAAAAAACAATTTTACGTCATCCTACTAATATTATAAACGCGAAAGTTTGTAAGAATGTATGTAAGGATATATGGATGAATGTTTGTTATTCTTTCACACAAAAATTACTGAATGTATTTTGATGAAACATCAAAATAACACATAGACTACTTTTAATCCCGGAAAAATATACGGTTCCGGTTATGTCATTTGTTTTTGTTTTTCTAGAGTCGAACCTGAGCGAAGCGTAGGTGAGCCGCTAGTACTAATATAACGCTATCGTTAATGTTAAAAGTTTAATAAAGTACAGAAATAAATTCTAATGTACTATCTAAAAAGTGCAAAATAAATGTTTAAAACCTGGTGTTAGACAGATTCGGTGGATAAATCTTTTGTGATATATGAAAGTCAATATCATCTTTATCGTCAGCTGGATCACTTGGAGGTCTCTCAGTGGGTCTGGACATACAGTGGTCCACACACCGGTCCAACACGAAATCAACCTGCTCATCTTCATCAGGACACTCTCGACTGGGGCATGGACTCCACCATATCTATATAATATTACAATATTTAGTGGCTAAATCGTTTAGATATTGCAATAATCTTCAAAGTTATGTGAAAGCAAAATTTACATTTTATTCATTGTCAGAAATATTCTTTAATTTATATTGACTTATTAAATAGCAACTTAAGTTGTATTATTTACTGAAGTTTCAGGAATATTCATACTCAAGCTGTAACCTAACAACAAAATGAGCTCACAGCCGTTAATATGCATAAATTTAGCTTTATTCTCTTAACACAGTCTCGCGCTATGACAAGACTGGTTAATCCGGATGAGGTCGATTTGCTCAAATTCTTAGAGGACAAGAGGTAAGTTTGCAACTGCGTAACGAGGGACCTTTAAAGTTGATTTTAGAACAACTCAAAATTTTTTGATGTCTATCGGTTTTACGAGAAAACGTCAAATATTCTTTAAAAATTACTTAATAGTAAATGTTACGCTGTTTACAAAATTGTTTAATATGATACTGAAATATATAATAAAATATTTTTTTAGTTTCTTATTAAATTTTTACTTAGGTTAGTCCAAAGCTTTTCTATTAAATTACAAGAAAACTTAATAAATACCTCTACGCTCCGTTTAATTGGGTGCCTCATAACGTAAGCCGATGGCATCACTCCTGGTGTTTCCTGATGGGGAATCAAAAGCAACGAATGGTGAAATCCCGCGTTCAATATTAGAGCTGTGATGACTACAGGCTTATACTCTCCGAAGCGATCAACCAGAAAACCTAAAAGAACGTGTAAAAAACGTCTATATAATCTATACATATTAAGTTTTTGACAATAAAATCAAACTTACCAGTTACAGGAGGACTTAAAAAGGTAGTGAAAGGTAATGCCAGATACACGAAGGAAATTTCCGGCACAGTCAGCCCTATACTTTGCATATGTATCGTAAGATATGGTAAAAGAGAAGCCGTCGCTCCATACATCACGAATAGAGTCACTTTCAACATTATGAGATTCGGATTTATCCGCAACCAGACTATCATCCTGCGCCAGCATCCTGGCGGCTCTTCATCGTCGTCGTCCATATTACTATCGTCCTCGTACTTCTTTCGTATATCATCCAACGATTTTGCCATTGCGTACGCGTATTCACATTTTCTTAGCTAAGTTTTAGTGTTTGTGCACGAGTTATATCTTATCGACTGACGCTCGGATCGGCGGTAAAGGTGATGTGACAATTATTTATTTAGGTATTATATCTCGACGGTGGCAGCGGGAAGCCAGGAAGGTCCCGAGCTCCCGACCGACTGCGAAGCCGACGGGCCGTAGCGGACGTCGTGAGACGCCAATTTACAAATAATAGCAAATTATCCTCGTTTAAGAAGTGTCACGGCGATTGGTGGGGATGCTAAATCGACTGGTGATCTGAAGACCTTGCGGGTAATAGCCTGAGGTCGGGGCGCTCCTGCTTGGGTCTTAGTTCACAAGATGAAGTCGCCCATCGTGAAATAGCGCGCAACTTCCGTGCCTCTTGACACTGTGAGTTACAAATATATCATACCTACTAAAACAATTAAATTATTTTTCGTACCTAAATGAAAAACTTATTTTTATAATCTTTCAATCTATTATATTTCAAATCACAACGCTTTTATAAAAACTATTTGGGTATAAAATAAACACAAAAACTAGATACTTAGTTACTTATTTAAGTTTAAAGTTACATGTACCACACATACCTTTTATGTTAAATCATATCAAAAAATAAATAATATAACATTTATAAGATAAGATAACAATTCAAAGAAAATATCATTTGCTTATTAAATACTTACCCTAATAGTCATATTAATTAATAGAAATATTATACTTCTATGCTATAGCATAGATATAACTTGAAAAAAGTCAAAAATTGTACACTCGAAAACACTTTCTGTTAATTGAATTAATTATATAAAACCAAACCAAAACATTAAGATATTATATTAGCTAGTATAGTATTATATGATCTGTGATATTAGCCAGGTCCATTCTTTAATTTCCCTATTAAATTTAAGTTACTTACCTGACATGTTTACATTATTTTATAAAAATGGCTCTCTTATGAATGAGCTTATTTTTTGATAAAAGCGTTAGCCAGCTTTGGATTTTAGGGTTCTCTATCAGGTGCATCTCCAATTCTTTACTGAAACGATGTCTATCCATTCCTCTCGGTCATAAAGTATCCTTGAACAAATGGAACAAAAACATGTATATGTATGTTTATACAGCTTAGCAAATTAAATAATAAGTCAATTTAAGCAAATAATATGATACTGCAGTAATTATTATATTTTTAAGTTAATATAATATATTTTTTATTAAGACCCTGATATCGATTTTAACCGTTTTATTAAATTGAGTGTTTTTATTGTAGAATTCTCTTGATGCGCCATCTGTACGTGAATTAACACAGCTATAATAATTTAACTATAAAACTTTTTCTAGTATCGCCATCTAGTGTCCAATAGTGAAATATTAATTTTCAAGAGCACAGATACAATATATTATCTACATTCAATTATAGAACTATATTGACCAAGTTGGCATCATGATTAAATATTATTCTATTTATAAATTTCTCAACATCTATCTTCCTCATAATAATCATTACTAGTAAAGCAAATATTAACAAGAAACATTTTTTTTAAAAATAGAGACACCTGATCAAATTGATATTATTATATTTTTAAAATATTTGTGTTGTTCTATTATATGATAATAAAAAAAGCAAAATATTTAAAAATGTAATTCAGGTAAGTAAAATATTTAAATATATAATGTGAAAAGTAATTGTAATAAATATATCTCAGGCGTATATCATCTATGAGTTAGTTCATTAATTGAGACTCAAAAGTTACAATGAAAATTAAATTGCTACGATATATTTTCATCAATACTTATAATATACTAATATAATAAATTATTGTAAGATGTATATAACATGCGTTCTATTAATTAAAATAACATTGATCTTTAAAAAAAAATGAAAAGTAGCGACATCTAACGATCGCAGAGGCATTTTCAAGAAAAGTAGGTCTCGATGTCTATAGTCTACTGCAAATTGTCAACCATAATGCATTGCGCATAAATGGCCGCCATGTTGCTGCCGTCTGAAAGATGTTCACATCTGTGTGTGTTTACTAATGAATTTTAAGGACTTTAATAGCTAAATTACTGTGTTTGTGAAATTGTGAGTGTACAATGGTTTTATTTTAGATATGTTTTAGTGTTTAAAAAGTCTGTCAAATGTCTCTTAGGCCAATAAACAGTGAAATTTTCTTTAGGTAGTCATTCGAGTCGGACGGCATAATGGCTGACAATTTGATTCAAAAGCCACATAAAACTAGTGAAAAAAACAAGTATAACAACGTTGTTCATCGTACTACGAGTGAATCTCTTCGACTGAACGAATCAGAGAAGGGAGTGACTCACCCGACGAGTCTGCAATCCGCCCATAACCCAAGGAAAATATCTTCCTTTCAGATAACCAGTGTGACTGTTGGCTCTCGGGTGAGCACTGATGCAGGCGACGACTCCGCTGACGATCTAGACGAATCTCACACCGATGACATCTCAAGGGTGACCGATATAGAGAATGAAACTCCGAGCTACTCAGAAGATACCTTTTCGAAAGACGACGTTTTTTACAACGCGTCGAGTCAATCACTAGGTTGTGCTCCTGTCATTCCGACTAGTTCGCAGTACGGACTCGCGATCGTCGGCCAGGACAATACCAATCAAATAGGAGGATCAGTGCCAAATAGTAATAACACTGAAGTAAATGACATGCACGTCAGTGTCACTAATGCCGGAACGGGCAGCATTATCAACCTTATAGGCAATTCGAAGCCCCAAGAAGGAATGAAGGAGATACAAGAACATGTTAGAAATGAACGTTTTAAAGTAGTGAAAATTGAAAGTACCGAGCCTTTTCGCCGTGGCAGATGGATGTGTATGGACTATCTCGACCATACCACCACTCAACAAAATGCACCTATCACACTTAATAATAATTTGGATGTGACCGAGACTAATAACCTACAAGCTCCTGACAGTGGAGTAGTAATGAATGATAGTCAACATGATGATATGTGTAATGATCTGGGTAATAAAGTACCTAAAGATCAAGTGAATGCAGTGCAGCAAATGGATCAAAGTGTTCAGAAACAATTTCCTATGGCTTCCCCTGGACAATCTTTGACTCAACCAATTAATATAGTGCAACAACAGATGCCAGTTAATCAATCTGTGTCTGTGCAGTCTCCACCTTTAGAGATGCCTCAACAGATGCCTAACCAAAATTTACAATCGAATCAGCAAGTTGGGCAACAACACACCCAGAGTATGACACATATCACTATGCAAAACACAGCCCCAAATCATCCCCAATCCAATCAGCAACCACAAGTGCAACAGATCCCGCAAAGCTTTCCACAGCATCAATTACAGCAAGTGATTGCACAGTCTCAAGGTATCACTATGCAACAGATACCCATGCACCAACAAATGCCACAGCAGATGCAACAAATCCCTAACCAGCAAATGCAACAAATGGGTCAACATTTGCCTCCGACCCAACTCACTAATATGCAAATACAGCAGCAGATGCCCCAAATGCAGGGTATACCTAATCAAGGTCAATTAACCCAAGTGCCTGGCCAACAAGCACAAATGCAGCAAATTCAAATGCAACCAATTCAGGGCCAACCTAATCCCCAGCAAATTCATCAAATGCAACAGGCCCAGATTCCCAATATTGGGCAAAGTCACCACCTGCAAGGTCAACAGACTATGGGACAACAAGCCCAACTGCAGCATTTGTCTAGTCAGGCCCAAATTCAGGCATTAAACCAGCAAATGCCAAACCATATGCAACAAATGCAGATGCCCACTCAGTTAACTGCGACTAATCAACAGATTTCACAAATGCAAACTCAGATGCACCAAATGCCATCCCAGCCTCAGCAGTCAGTGGTTCCTGGAATACACCCCCAAATGCAACAACAAGGCATGGGTGTCCCTCAACCACAGTACAATCAAGCAGTTAACCAGCAACCTAATCCACAATCAATGATTAATGCAACCATTCCTTCATCGCAACAACCAATGGTTCAACAACAACACAATGTTCCTCAATATCATACACAACAATCTCAGATGTCGCAGCAGGGCCAGACCTTGCCTCAGGAGGTGCTGTCTAGTATTGTTACATCCCAGCAAGGTGCCACTCTTCCTACTAATCTGCAACCTATGGCCACTCAGCCACAGGGGTCTACATTGCCAGCGAATCTCCAAAGCCTAGCCGGCCAACAACAGGCACCAGTGCACACTATGGCTCCACAGCAAGGAAATGTGCCCCAAGGAAACATACAAATCATGACTGCCCCTCCCCAAAGTATGCAGATGACTTTAGAGAATCAACCAAATATGCAAATGCCTGCATCTGATCCTATATTCATGCAGCCTGCAAATGTGGGTCAACAGATGCCTTCACATATGACCCAGCCTCAAAATATGATGCAGCAGCAAGCTCAAGGGCAGATGGGTGGTGTTCAATATGTTCCTAATCAAACAGTACCGCAAGTGTCAATGGCACACCAGAATATTCCGATGTCAATGCAACAAAACATGCCTGTTGGAATGGGTGGTGCGGTTCACCCTAACGTGGTGCAATCACAGACTAATATGGCTTTGGGCTACGGTGGCGTCGTGCCAGTAATGTCTCAAAGTAGCGTAGCTCCCGTTGAGGCTACTGTTTCGGGGACTAACTCTCCTGTGGTATCAATGCCGGTGAACTCTACCGCGTACGTTACAAACGCGGCTGCCCCGGTCCATGACAGTCAGGGCTTCGGTAGCCCAGTTAGTGCGGTTGTGTCTCATGCGATCAGTAGCGCAGTGATGAGCAATGTGAATGTGAATGCCTGTGATAGTGGTGCTCCAGACGTGGCTCAGGATGGCCTCCAGCCTGGCGACACTGGCGACGGGAAGGATGAACCGCCTCCACCACCTGAGGATGAAAGGTGAGTCATTTGACTTGGCGCCTTCTATTTATCCGATAATATCAATTTTACGAGCTACTAATTCAAATATAAGATAAAAATGGATTTGATAACATTGTACTGATTAAATTATGTTGTTCTCTAAATTTTTACATGAAAATGGAATTGAAGCTGAATTCTAAATTAAAAATTTGCCTGATAATATACCTACTTAACAAGTCATATTTTAAGCTGGTCTTAAAATACTGCACTGCCTTTAACTTATTACTTCTATCCAACAACTTTGATATTAATATATATGTTTATTATATAATAGAAAACTTAAAATTAAATTATCGAGACTAACAACATATTATTTTTAAGATGCTGAGCCATTAAATATTATTTGAGTTTGAGAGATATATATTATTTGAGTTATTCAAATAATGTTTGTTGTATGAGTATATGCATGTACTGTTTGTTGTGAAGAATCAAAATTGTAAATTACGGGCTGCTTCATAATTTTTAACAAGTGTGAACAATATTATATAGAAAAGTTATTTCCAAATATGATTCAATTTTCAAAATTATTTCCGAGATTCAAAATATGTCTTATTGATAGATACTGTGATATTATAAAAATAAAATAACTTTAATTATATATTTTTTTTAACATTTCATTATTTATTTTGTATTATGTCATAGGGAATCTGTCAGATATAAATAATGTGTTAATTTCTGTCTACACCAGGGTTTCTCAACCTTTCTTGTACCGAGCCTCCGCAGATTATAAAAAATATTTTCATGCCCCTGTTTTTTTATTATAATAAAACAAACATTATTTTAACGATTTATATATTCGTACCCGCCTTTATTTATTTATTGTAATAAAACACGTTATTTTAGTGATTTATTTTATTTTTAAGTTATACAAAATAAACTCTATGCCCCCTGGTCGGGAACTCCTGGTCTATACAATCTTATTTTTTATTCTACTTTCTTAAATAATAGAAATTTAAATATATAAGAGTAATTTAATTATAATCTTAATAAAAATTTAATTTAATATAATAGTTACTATATTATGAAGATAATATAAGTAGAGTAATTTTCCATATATGCCTAAACATATAATTTAATTATAGACTAAAAAGTTTTTTTTTAAGTACAAAGCTATATTTCTATGGTCTTGTAAGATATTATGTTATACATATTCCATTACTAGTACTATAAATCTATACATATAATAAAATTGTAACTAAGCTAAATCTGTACATAAAATATTTTTTGGAAAATCTTATGGAAATAGACTCTATTATCGATACAGAAGCCGAATCTATCGTTTTTAGAATTTTTGTCTGTCTGTCTGTCTGTCTGTTACCGTATCACGGGAAAACCACTGGATAGATTTTGGTGAAATTTGGTATAATGATAGCTGGTTATCCGGATCATCATATAGGATACTTTTTACCGCGGGAAAATATCTCATTTCTGAGAAAAAATACAAAAACTTCATTGTAAGAGTACTTATGCCAATATGTAAAACCTAAGAATTTGGTTTATAGTCATCTGTGTGGGCGGAGCCGCGGGCAATGCTAGTGTATATATATTGCTTTAATAATGGTAGTAACCCTATTATTCCTTACTGATTTGGCAGTATTGTATATTTTATGTAAATTGTATTAAGCTAGCAACAGTTTCCAATAATGGCTAAGTAACCACCTATATGTACATCTATTAGCAAAAATAACTCATCCGTAGACAATGGCGGATGTTTTCTTTGCATTTGGCCGCGGCTCGTACCACCGAGCGGAATCCGACGTCCCTTTGATGCTGTTTATTTGCGCTTCGTCCTGCGACATAAATAGGTAGTTGACACGTACGGTGCATGGTGCCCGCCGGTATGCCGGTGACTCACGCGCATCGTATCTGACTTACAGGCCGGCTAAAAAAGTAACAGTTCTTTTCATTTGGCTAGGTACTAATTTTCTAGCGCTCTTCAAAAGTTTCTGCTTGTTTCCATTACACTACTGGTAGGGGACATTCATTGCTTGAGCTGTTTTTCTTATAATTCCCCTTCCGACCTCTTGGTGGGATTTGGTTGTACCCTCCCTCCCCCTCACGTGAGATTTATGCTATATTTGTAAAAAATAATACAACGTTCAGGTACTATCGAAATAAATGTTTTTTTTATAATAGCCGTGAGATTTTTTCAACACGCAGAATGGAACATTTATAAAGGAAACGAAAGATATTTTTTTCTACCTGCTTAATTTAAATGTATATTCTTTTAAAGTTGACGTATGATTTTTTAGTGACATTTTACTGAACTCCCCTACCATTTTGAGCTCACGTATTTAATGGATGCTCCCTAATTGCGTACGTACTGTGTTCGATATGCGATGTTGCTTACTATTCCGATGAGATCTTAAGTATTCCCAGGACGAAGCTACAATGCAAGAGCCACCCGGCGCCAGCGCAACGTCACTGGCGTCATTGGTAATCGAGTCGAGAGCGGAAGGCCGTGAAACATGAGATTGCCGTTCGCTTCTGATCGACTAATATGCATCTCAATCCACCACCAATCATGACATTAGATCAAGTTAATATGACTTAAACACAAAAAGTCTGTTTTTTTTAAACTAACTCAACTGTCGACTGTTAATACCTCGTAAGTCGTAGGTTCTTAGTAATTTCATATTGCAAACGATGTACCGATGTGTAATATTTGCTCATATGCCATATGCATTAAAATTCCACGAGTTTTTCCGATTGCCTATTGTCTAAATGTTTTCGAAGTCTTCATACGTACAAGCCTCGACGTTCACAAGTCATCTAGAATATCGTTTTTATATTATTTTAATCTCAGTATTAACTGTGAAGCCATGTGAAGCTTTTTTTACCTCTAATGTTTTCTCAAAATGAAAATATTTCAAACTTCAATCTTTAAGTTTAAAGATTCACCTGCGCACTGTTATAAGCAGTCGATGCAATCTATTGGCGTGCTAATATTGGTGAAAGTAGATGCACAAAATACCGCAGAGCTCCGTTCTCAGTATTGTCAAATAAAACATTCACGACATCACGATTCAGTTTAATAATAGAAATTCCATATTACCACTAGAACAGCAATCATTTTTATCTTTGCAAATTGAAATTTATATGTATTTCTATTTATTAAAGCATTTCGTTTATTTTAAATGAAGTTTAATGAAATTATTACTGGCGTAATCAATAAATTAAATGTTTTTGATTGTATGTTAAACTTAATATATTTATGACATTCTACGATTTTTGTATTATTACGTAAGACAACCAATAGAACGCCGCAAGCTTTCTTGACGTCACCATTGAATCGGCAATATAGATAAAACATCAAATAATCTTGTAATTTATGTGTTTATATTAAATATTGTAATATTCGGAGAGATATGAAAGATTGAAATGTTATAGAAAAATGAAGGAGGGTGGGCTTAAATAGAATATAACCGAAAATCAGATTTTCTACGTCAAAGTAACTTGTCAATCTATACAAAAATATAATAAAATTCTAACTAAACCAAATCTGTACATTAAATATTTTCTTGAAAATCTTATTGAAATAAACATTATTATCGATACAGAGGCCGAATTTATAGTTTTTAGAATTTTTGTCTATGTATCTGTCTGTCTGTCTGTTACCGCATCACGGAAAAACCACTGGAGGGATTTTTATGAAATTTGGTATGATATTAGCTGGTTATCCGGGTTAACATATAGGACACTTATTTCTGCGGGAAAATACCTCATCTCTGAGAAATCTATACTAAACGTCACAACGTAAGTTCTATAATAAATATATTTTTTAAACTAAAACTACGTTACATAAGTCTAAACAAAACTGCATCGAAAAACGCATATACCTATATAATATGTTTTTTTATGTTTTATTGTAACGTCGTCTGTCTATTAATTTATCCAACAAACAGATCTAACTAGCGATGATCGAATTAGTATAGTTCGCGTGCAATTTTTTATTCGACACCGTTCATTGAGTAAAGCGGTGAAATATTAATTGCATTATTTAGTTTGAGATATCATTTGTTACGTTAACCTTTTTATATTACATCTTAAAAAGTCATAAAATTGAAAAGGACGTTTGCTTCGTATTTGCCAAGCTGTTATAGTCGTTGCTTGTTATTGGCGATTTCATCTGTTTGAATTATTTTATGTACTTGAATATGATTTGTTTGACGATCGTTTTGTATATTGGGGTTACGTGTAGTACGTTTACGCGTTGCAGCACGTTGTGGGTTTTGTTTTCGATGTTTATTGAATATTACTAAGCACGTAGTCCTTACTCCTGACAAGAAAGGTAAATATATTTAATATTTTAGTGGTTTCCCTATATTCTTATAATAGAACTGGCTGATGCCCGCGTCTTCGCTTGCGTCAAGTTTCATTTTGCTTAATAAATTTTAGTTTTAGATTCAATACTTTTTTGACTTTTATGTTGTTCGAGTGTATTTTTTTAAATTGATGATATTTTCGTTATCAACCTACCGACATACCTTCAAAATGACACCCTTATTGATTTTTAGACTATTTACCTGTTTTCACCTGAAGGAGTTGTTTTTGAAAATACACGAAACACGTGTTTATTTATAGTAAACTAGCAGAACCGCGGCTATGCTCGCGCTAAAACTGTAAAAAAACTTTAAATTTTAAAAGTTAGTTTCATACAAACTTTAATCCCCAATTTTACCCCCTTATTGGATGAATTTCGAAAAATTCTGATCAAAAATATTTTTTGAATTGTATTAAGTATAACGTATTTTTCTGTGGGAATTAGATAATTTCCCGCCGTAAAAAATAGCCTATGTCACTCTCCAGCCCTCCAACTATCTCCACACAAAAAATCTCGCCAACCTGTCACTCCGTTTCGACGTGAAAGAAGGACAAACAAACAAACAAACAAACAAACAAATAAACACACTTTCACATTTATAATATATTATAGTACGGATAGATAGTATATGGATAAGTATGAGAAATCCTGCGAAT